GGGTGCTTAAGGGGGCACCTACAGGTCCCCAGAGGAGCCAGGGGTGCCTAAGGGGGCACCTACAGGTCCCCGGAGGAGCCAGGGATGCTTAAGGGGGCACCTACAGGGCAAACGTGGGAAAATTTGATCGTTAAAATATGATGGTAATGGACTGCAGCCCACTGAATAAAACAGGAAACTTTACACATGTCCATACGGAGAAAATAAGCAAGGGGAAGAAAAAGCTCTTCCCTTAGTCAGATGCTGACTGGTCCTCGGACCACCACTGGCTGCCATCGGAGAACAATTAAGCCAAGAAGCAGCAGTGAAGGTGAAAACTATTTTGACAAGGCGCAGGATATTTACATAGTCTTAAAGCATCTCTCCAGGAAGTGCTAATTTACTCATTTTTTTAAAACTCTGAGAGGAGGGGCATGGGAGCGGTCACAGCGGCTTCCAGAGTCTCCAGCAGCCCGGAGGGCAGCTGCGGCAGAGTCCACCCTGACACTGAGCGTCCAGTGGCTTTCATTAGTTGCCACCCGTGGCAGGAGCCCTTTGGTGAGGCAAGCACTCTCAGCAGGGAGGCCATGAACACTTGTGCGCAAATTCATTCACCCTTAAAAGGGATGGCCCGGCGGGACCGTCTGGAGGGCGAGAAGCCAACGGCAGAGAGAACAGAAAAGAGCGGGAAGCCTGATGGGGTGTGGTGACGCAGACTGAAAACACTGCATAAATCTCAGCTTTTTTTTTTTTGAGACAGAGTTTCTCTGTTGCCCAGGATGGAGTGCAGTGGCATAATTTCGGCTCACTGCAACCTCCACCTCTCAGGTTCAAGGGATTCTTATGTCTCAGCCTCTCAAGTAGCTGGGATTACAGGCATGCACCACCACACCCAGCTAATTTTTTGTATTTTTAGTAGAGACGGGGTTTCACCAGGTCGGCCAGGCTGGTCTTGAACTCCTGACCTCAAGTGATCTACCCGACTCGGCCTCCCAAAGTGCTGGGATTATAGGCAATCTCATCTAATTATATTTGGAGCACCACTTGCATACCTCTAGTGATAGGGAACTCACCACCCCTCAGGTGTCTGCTCAGGGACAGTGAGGCTGCAGGGGAGGGGCTGTTGATTCTCCTAGGACAACCCAGGAAGGCTTCCTGAAGGAGGAGATGAGCTTGGGCTTGGCCATCTCCAGTTCATACAAGTGCCCAATAAATGACCGCAAAATGCAGCAACAATCCCTTCCCTAAGACATGGGCCAGGCAACCAAAAGTCCTTCCAAAGGTCCTACTGATAATGACAGCAGGACCCAAAAGGCAATTGGAGGGAGGACTTCTGGGATATTCCGGCACTTTCTCCCACCGTCCCGCTGACTCAGACATATGTGAAGCAGATTTCTGTGACAAGTTTAAAAGGACTTTGAAGAAGGAAAACCCAGAGGAATCTAGGATGTCCACGTCAATGCCTACCACCACAGTCTACGAGCCAGGTATATTGCAGAGCTGATCACTAGGCAGGACATCCCTTGGGAAAACCCTGCCAGCTCCAGGCCATGGGCGAGTAGCTAGTAGTGTGGGGTGGAAGAGGGAGGCAGGGGCCTGGGGTGGGTGAGTGACCACGGGTAAGTCGCTTCCTCTCTGGGGCCTGTGTCTTCATCTGTAAAATGGGGCTGCCCATCTCACCAAGAGCCATCAGAATGCCCCTTATCAACTATAAAAGGCTGTGCAAGCAGGAAGAGGCTTTAGCGAAGAAAGGGTCATGCAGTTGTCTCTTTGCCAGTAATTCACTGGGCCAGGTGTGGGCGAATGGGCACACGGGGAGAACGGGCACACAGGACGAACCCAGCCTGCTTCCTGCTTTGGTACAGCCTGCAAGCTAAAAATGGCTTTTTGTGTTTTTAAGTGGTTGAAAAAAAAAAAATACAAAAGAAGAATACTATTTCATGACACACGAAAATGATGTGAAATTCACCATCTGTGTCCATAGAGTTTTACAGGAACACGGTCCGGCAGAGTTGTTACAATAGAGCGATGGGTCTGCAAAGCTAAAATACTGACTGTTTGGCCCTTTAAGAGCAAGAGTGTTGGCCTGGCATGGTGGCTCATGCCTGTAATTCCAGTATTTTGGGAGGCTGAGGCGGGAGGATGGCTTGAGCTAGGAGTTTGAGACGACTCTGGGCCACATAGTGAGATCCCCATCTCTACAAAAAAACTACCAATATGAGCGAGGCGTGGAGGCGCACACCTGTAGTACAAGCTAGTCGGGCAGCCGAGGCAAGCGGATTGCTTGAGCCCAGGAGGTCAAGGCTGCAATGAACCATGCTTGCACCACGGCACTCCAGCCCGGGCGACAGAGTGAGACTGTCTTTAAAAAAAAAAAAAAAAAAAAAAAAAAAAGCTGGGCGCGGTGGCTCAAGCCTGTAATCCCAGCACTTTGGGAGCCCGAGGCGGGTGGATCACGAGGTCAAGAGATCGAGACCATCCTGGTCAACACGGTGAAACCCCATCTCTACTAAAAATATAAAAAAATTAGCTGGGCATGGTGGCGCGTGCCTGTAATCCCAGCTACTCAGGAGGCTGAGGCAGGAGAATTGCCTGAACCCAGGAGACGGAGGTTGCAGTGAGCCGAGATCGCGTCATTGCACTCCAGCCTGGGTAACATGAGTGAAACTCCGTCTCAAAAAAAAAAAAAAA